CAGCGATAGAAATTTATCTTATAAACACCATATTAAAATTTCAAGTGATTCGGATAGATAGTTTTATTTTTTTTGTCATCAACGGCACACCGAAAAAAGTAGTTTTGTGATAACTACGTACAAAGCATCCATTCATTGAGCCCCTTGACCGCGCGCTACCTAAAACGGCTCTAGAAGCTAAAATAATGTGAATATCCTTCCAAAAATTKTACAGTATATTCTTAAAGGACCATACTTTCGAACTATAAAAAACCCGATTTTTTTGAAAATTCTAGACCACCGAGACTCCTTAACCCTTATGTTAGTAAGCAACTTTATCGAAGTCTTTTAACAACTGGGTACCGGGGTACCCACGATCTGAGTATTAAAAATTTTGTTTATTAAAAAAAGATCAAATGTTAATAGTCGGTGACAATTTAAAGGTTAGGTACGTTTATTGTTCAGAGCCGAGCAGATGCCGTTCAATGTCAATTAGCGAGACTTTCAAAAAAAATTTTACCTACGACATAATTGTCCGTCACGTAAAAAAACTGAAACAATTTTCCAAGAGTGCAATGCTAACCATCCAAACTCACAGCATCAATGTAAGCCCGTTACGATACCCGAAATTTATTCGTTCTTCGGTATCTTGATTTGTGCTGGAGCAAAGAATTCGAACACATATATTTGACATGTGGCACTCCATTTCTTATCCGCTATATCTGGCGACGATGGGATTGATGAGATTCCATAATATTCTGCGTTGTTTGCGATTCGACGATAGTAATACTCGAAGTGAACGTAAAAAGGATGACAAGGCAGCTCCAACTTGTGATGTGTGGACAATGTTAAATTCAAATTTGGCTCAGATGTACATACCAACAGCTAACTTAACGATTRATGAACAGCTTTATCCATACCGTGGTCGTACTGGATTTACTCAATATATTCCATTGAAATCAGCTAAGTATGGTATAAAGATATGGTGGATTTGTGGTACAGAAAATGCATATCCTTTGCAAGGTATCACTGGTACACTGGTAAAATAGATAATACTCGAGAAAAAAATCAGGGTGAAAGAGTAGTGAAAGAATTGGCGTCTCCGTATCGAGGTAGTTGTAGAAGCATCTGCATGGATAACTTCTTTACTACTGTACCAGTTGCTAAAACATTTGTTGTTGTAGAATATTACTTTAAAAAAGAATAAATCTTATATCCCTAGTGTTATGGGGGCGAATAAGACCACGGGGGCAGTATTCGACAGTTTTTGGATTTTACGAAAAGGTTACCATGTGTTCCTACGTTCCTAAGAAAATAAAGCTGAATTCTGATATATGTCGATATCAGTTGGTGATGACGCTAAACAAAAACCAGAAGTAATAAATTTTTATAATAAATATAAAGCTGGAGTTTCACAATGAACCAAATGGTGCGGAGATACACCAGTCAACGACGATCTTTGAGATGGCCAATGGCAATGCTCTCCAACATGCTAGATATTTCTTCACTTGCGGCATATATAATTTATTATGAAAATAATAAAATGATTGTCAAAAAAACGACAGAACGTCGTCAATTTATGCGTAAACTAAGTGAAGAACTAGCATTGCCGATGATTGAGCAGCGCACGGCGAATCCACAAGTAATGTGCCACTTCTCCGCAAAGATTGCCGTTGAAAGTTTATTAGACCATACACTGGAAGAAACAGTCGTGATAAATCCTGGTCCAAAGACTCCAAAAGATAAAACTGGAAGGAAAAATGTAGATCCCGTTAACAGGTGTTCCAGTTTTATCTTTTGGAGTCTTTAGATCCTGTTACTTTTTGCAATGCTGTGTCAATAAGGAGACGGTGAAAGACACAAAAGGCATGTGCCAATTGTCATCAACCTGTTTGTGACGAGCATTCAATTAATCGTGTTGCTTTCATGCATTAATAGAAATGATATACAATTTATTTCCTTTCTTTTCACTGTGGGTACCCTAGTAACCCGGTTGTTAATAGGGCGATTGCTAGAGTTTAAGCTTATTAAAAAAAAATAAATAA